ACAAACTTCTGCGCAGCGGATGGCAGATTTGCCAGCAGTGCGTCTGGAGACAGCTAGAGCATTTCTTAACTCGGGATGTGATTTCGCAGGACCGATTAGCATCAAAATGACCAACTGTAAACGTCCAAGAATTTGTAAATCGTACATATGTATTTTCGTATGTTTGTCAACGAAGGCGATCCACATTGAATTGGTCACTGACTTAACAGCCGAGGCCTTTATTGCGGCATTCAAACGCTTCACTTCGCGACGCGGCAAGTGCAGCAATTTGTATAGCGACAATGGCACCAATTTCCATGGTGCTCATCGCTTGTTGACGGACATGCATAAAAGTTTACTCAAAGAATCTTTCAATCACGAAATCTACTCTCATTTGGCTAGAGATGGCACAACGTGGCACTTCATCCCACCCTCGTCGCCACATTTCGGTGGGATATGGGAGTCAAATGTGAAGTCCATTAAGCATCATCTACGAAGAGTGATAGGTGAAACCCTGCTATCCTTCGAAGAGCTATACACTTTGTTGACGCAGATTGAAGCTATACTGAACAGCAGACCATTGTGTAGCATTTCAGACGCAGATCAAAACCCACTGACGCCATCGCATTTTTTAATTGGAGAGCCATTGACTGCTACTCCGGAACCTACAATATCAACTAAATTCTCACTGAAATCTTCATGGAATCATATTCGCAACATGGCACAAGGTTTTTGGAAACGCTGGAGTTTGGAGTACATAACTTCCCTCCAACATCGTACTAAATGGACTACCGCTCAACCTAACCTGACACCCGGAAAACTCGTAGTGATCAAGGATCCCAGCATTCCTCCGACAAAGTGGATGTTGGGCAAAATCGAAGAAGTCTATGCAGGCCTCGACGGGTGCGTGAGAGTTGTCACAGTACGCACTGGAAAGGGCACTTATAAACGACCGATCACGAAAATCGCCTTGCTACCAACTTCTGGCTGAAACTATGGTTCAGGGCTGGCGGTATGATGAGAAATTAAATCATCTCTACATTCCATACTTTATTACACCAAAATGCAACCTTACTTTGTACACCACTACAACCCTTGTATACGTATTTTAGCATAAGTTCAAGAGCCTTTGTTACTGTAACTNCAATGTTTGAAACTTGGATTTACATATGTACATACGTATATGGTGTTTGTTAATATATAAGCCATGTTTCAATAAAAAATTTACCTAACTTTTTTAGCATGAATACTAAAAAATCGGCGCATACTTGTTAATTTTGTGAGTAACTGTATGTGAAATAAAACTTTCACTTATTCATAAAGATCGTATCTGAAATTATTGATGAAGAAACTGGAGTAGGGGACTCGAATTTTTTAG